TTTAGAAAAAATTGTCCATGACTTACGGATTTTATCTCTTTGCAAGTGGGCCCGTTGAATTGACATTAAAATCATTTTAATACGACTATAGCTCAAGACTGGCGCTAAGTTGGAAAATCCGCAAGGCAGGGGACAAATATAGCTCAAGATTTTTGTGAAGTCTCGAGTTCTCAGCCACCACACATTCTTCAGTCCACCATAGATATTTTTGGATCGGATTCGGGAACACTGCCTCCAGCCTCCATCTATAGCGGGTAAGCTTAATTTATTTTAGTTTTATCTGTGGGATAAGGAAATTTTGGTTCAATCCTTTTTTGGTTAGATAAGGGTACGAAAATGATGAAAGTGTTTTGTACACGAAACCATGTAACGATCATTATTCCATATAAACTGATATTCCATCGTCGTAATGATAAATAGAATTATTCTTTATGATACTAAACGTGAAGAATTTGTTGATTTGTTGCTCGTGGGGCAATTGATAGTACTTCTTTAAAATCTCTTCTAAATACAAAAACTTTCCCAACAAAAGCTATCCACCGTTTCAATTGACATTCGTGCTTCATCCCATATAGCAAAGCATGTCAAATCAATTTTAATGCATGATATATTGAAGATTTTCCATTCATTTGTTTGAAGTGGAATATTAAATCTTTGAATTGGCAGTTCTACGTCCTGACGTTATTGATGTTGCTACACATGAAGTTGTTGTTGCAAGTGCTAACGTCCCATGTGATCATACCTATGCTATGCATGATCTAAAAAGGTTTTACTTGCACCTCCAGGTCCATCAATAAAAATTACACCCCCTTTGCCAAGATTCATTCTTTCAAGTCTAACATAAAACACGTGTTTTTTTTCTATGAATTTAGACTTGTGTCGCTTGATCTAAAATACATGCAAGAAGTAGGCAAATTTATTTGCTTCTTAATTTTTTGATATAATTTTTAACTTCGAAAATTTGACAACTCTGGATCTTCAGGAAGATCCCTTTGTCTTTCTTAGGATTATCTTCAAAATTGTACAAATAAAAATTACCAACTAAAAGTCCTTGGTCCAAAAGCTTTTGTATTGTTTACTTACGTAAATAAGCTGGTAGATGAGAAACATATTCAAAATGGAACAAATAGGTGGTGGTGATGCAAGGTGGTCTCTGAAGGGCATGTCTGCCCTTGTCACGGGCGGTACTCGAGGCATAGGGTATGTGACTTAAATTCAGTCTCGTTTTACTATACTCCACATGTACTAATACTAGTAACGCTAAGCTTAAAATGTGCTCATCTGTCTCGATATTTTATAGTCATGCCATTGTAGAAGAATTTGCACGTTTTGGAGCTGTCGTGTATACATGTTCTCGTAATCAAAAAGAGTTAGATGAATGTTTAGAAGAATGGAAGTGCAAGGGCTTTCAAGTAGCAGGGTCTGTGTGTGACTTATCAGTACGAACCCAACGGGATAAGCTGATAGAGACTGTTACCACTTATTTCGATGGGAAGATCAATATCTTGGTTAGTTTATCCTCTTTTTATCGTATGATTGTGTTCTTCAGTGCAAGGTTTCTGAAACGAGTACTTCGATTTCTTAGGTGAACAATGCCGGCACAACTCAACTTAAGGAAGCCACAGAATTCACAGCTGAAGATTACTCACCGATAATGGGTACAAATTTTGAGACTTCTTATCATTTGTGTCAACTTGCACACCCATTTCTCAAGGCATCAGGTTGTGGAAGCATTGTGTTTATTTCTTCTGTGGGTGGACTTATCGCAGTTCCTGTTGCTTCTTTGTTTGCCGCATCTAAAGGTAGCAGCAAACAATTGTAGTATGAATCAAAATTTCACACTGCTAAGTGATTCTACTATTCATCTTTTGTGCAGGAACAATGAATCGGGTAACAAAGAACTTGGCATGCGAATGGGCAAAGGATAACATCCGTGTTAATGCAGTGAATGCTTTACCATAAAAATGTTGTAAAATTTAACCAACTTTTAGCACATGACAATGTTTCTAGTTTTCCCGTAAAAAATAAAATGGCTAAAAATTTTACATTGGGTCCATGATTACTAAGGTCATGTTTGTTTCGAATTAAAATCAGATTTTAATCTAAATCAAAGTCAAACAATCAATATTAATCACATTTTTCATGGGTCCCACAACTTTTCAACCACACATTTGAAAAACTCCTATCACAATCTACTAAAAATCTAATTTTAAGATCACCACCAAACATCCTCTAAAAATATAGATATAAAGCGCATCATCAGTTTTCATTGTTAGCAAACCTAATTATTCCAATAAAAATATTGACAGGTGGTAGAATTCGAGATTGTTTTGTATACAATAAAGAGTTCTGCTTCACGTACAGAAGTAGAACTCACAGAAATTTAACAGATTCTCACAGCAGGGGGGTGGGTGGGTCTTTTTTCTCAATATTTTACTCACATGGGGTCCACCGCACCCCCCACGTGAGAGATCTATAGGAATTCTGGCTCTACAATAAATGATTTGGACTGGACCCAAAGCTCAATGCAGGTCTATGCCAGCACTAGTCTCCATTGGGCCCCACCCGTAACAACAATAGCGGCCTTATCTCTTTGCAAGTGGACTCGTTGAATTGACATTAAAAGGGAAATTACAAAAAATCAGGTGTATAATTTAAATCCAATTTAAAAATCAGGTTGAAAGTTTAATTATTCAAAAATCAGGTATTTTATTTTATATATCAGACATAAATGTATCTAAACCCTAAAATAATTTATTTCTCTCAACTCTCTCACTCTCTCACTATTTCTCCACCGCCCACTGCCTCCACCTGCTTCTCCAACCTTCTCCCATCCCCTCCCTCTCCCTAGCAGCGTCGAGGCGCTGCTGCTGTTCATAGCAGTGTCGTGACACTGCTGTGAATCGCAGCAGTGGCCAGAGTCACGACGCTGCTACGCTGCTGTGAACAGCAATAGCCCTTCGACGATGCTGGTGTGTGGGTCGGCTGTGTCGGTGCATGGTTGTGGGTGTGTGGGTCGACTGTGTTGGTGGATGGTCTGTGGGTGTTGGGCGCATCTGTCGTTGGTGTGTGGCTGTGTTGATTGATCTGTTTGTTGGTGGTTTGGGCT